GTCTTTCATTCGGGTCAATGAAAAATATTTTGATGATTATTTCAAATTCACCCCATCCTGTTTCAGTAATTTCGTATGGAGGCTTAGTAACAACTGAAGAGAAAGGGGGAAAATTATAAATTACTGATTTATTTTCTTTGCTCTTTTTTAACTTTGTATATTATGAATCAAGATTGTATAATACCTCTTAATGGATTTCCGTAACTTTCATGTAATTTAAATTGGATTTTTTTCACATATGCTGACATATCCTAAAACACAAAGAAATTAATTCATCTACATATGAAAACTAGGATAAAAATACACTCAACATATATATGTAATTTTACAAAATATATTTTCCCTCAAATTTTATGGAATTTAAGTTTTTAAGAAACATGAATGACACCTGGGGAGTGGTTTGACTTTTTTTAAACAAAGGAAGCCTATATTAAATTCTTTCATAATGTACAATATGTAGGAATATATATGTCCCCATTTACTTGTTTTGTAAACCTTGTTGTTATATTCCTTAATAAACAATATTCTCAGTTTTGATTTTTCTGTAAGGACAACAGATTTCTGATATTTTTATCAAAATAATCATATAAAGCAAAGCAAATCTATAGTCAACTTTAAAGAACACAATTATATCACATGAAGCTAAGAACAACAAATTCAAAGCAACCTAGAACGGTTGGATATGAAACTTCTCCTTTTCTTAATATTTTGAAGCACAGAAGCACATTTATTAATTCTAGAACACAAAAGGGCTTCTACTGGTAAAGTGGTTTTTAAAAAATATGTAATTTATTTGAGAGAAATAGCAAATGCAAAACAGTAAGTCCCACCCAACAGTAACATTTACTACCTTTATATATTTTTGGACTTCTTTTGAATAATTAAATTGGGATTATATTATAATGATAACTTGTTTCTGTCATTTGCTATACTGTAAAAATTTTCTGTTATGTAGATTTTCCTGTCTTTGAAGTCTCTTTTGGAAATATTTCACTCACTGCTTCCACAAGTTGCCAATGCTGCTACACCAGATGCTAACTCTACAATGGTAAATAAAAGAGGGCCTCATACTTGGGCACTTGGAACTCATTGTGGAATAGGGGAAAGACTGTAAAATTTGCGCTCCGTCTAATGGGCCATAAAGGCAGCAGGCGTAAGAGTCCATTGGATGGACACCTAATTTAATCTTTGAGGGTCAAGAAAGTAACTCAAAGAAAATAACAATTGAACTAAGACCTAAAAGGATCAACAGGAATAGACTGAGTAGGAAGGAATGAAGAGGTTTAAGAAGGTCCATTTGATAATAATCAATTCGAGAGCAGTCTAGTATTTCTGGAACATAGGGTATGAGGAAATGTTGAGGTGCAGACGAATAAAGCCACAGAAATAGGACAGGGGAAGATCATGGCAACTTTTCTAAAAAAGAAACTACGGATTTGCCTATTTGGACATTTTATATAAATGATATCATACAATAAACGCCATTTTATGTTTTTCCTTTCACTTAGCATAATGCTTCTATTTTCATACACGCACTAGCATATATCAGTATGTCATTACTTTTTATAGCCTAATAATATTCCATTGCATGAATATGCAACATTTTATTCATCTATTCATCAGCCCACATATATTTTGGTTGTTCCCATTTTTGGGCTATCATGAATAATGCTGCTATTTTCATATACAAGTTAAATAACCCTTACTTATTCAATACGTATCTGTTGAATATCTATCTGTTGGCCATTTTCAAGGCAGCAGAGATTCAACCACAAAACAAAATCACCAGTAGCCACAGTATATAGCAGATGTGTTTCTATATTCTTTGGTCTATTACTACATTATTACTTTGTTATTTGTTGCTATTTTTGAAATACCCCTGGTTACAATGTTAACTTAAGACTGATGTTTGGAAGGTATACTTGTATTGTATTTATAGAAGTGTAATTCTTGTTACTTGATTTTAATTAGAAAGCACACTATAATCCCAGCCCTCGGGAGGCTGAGGCAGGAGGATCGTTGCGAGTTTGAGGTCAGCCTGGGCTACAAAGTGAGCTCAAGGCCAGCCTGAACTGCACAGCCAGACCCTGTCTCAAAAAGACAAAAAATTTTTTTAAATTAGGAATCATTTTTGGAAAATTGATTTCTACTAATTACAGAAAAAAGACAATTCTTACTTTATTCTTCTAATTTTGGGGGGTGCCTACATTTCCATAATGGGCTAATTTTATCAGAAAGTTAGTATAAAAGAAGTTTACAATTTATCTTCAAGTAGACCAAATTATAGCTTCAAAAACGTTAAAGGAAAAACAAGTACTCACCTCATTTCTATATGGTTTTACATATACGGTCCACTGATGGGTGTGCCCATCCTCTTCTCTCTTCTTCCCAAAATATCGAGCAACATTACCATAA